ACACACACACACACACACACACACACAAATACACACACACTGCACTCACAGCAGCTCTGCCTCAATCTGCGCCCGTTTTTTACACTGAGCAAAAAATGCATTCAAACCAGCTGACATTAACTTTAGATCTCAGTTTGAAATGTACACTGAAGAAAACCTGCATCACAACTTTTATACTGCGGTCAGACTAAACGTGATATGAGCAGCATCTGCCTGGTTCACATGTTTATGGTGGATGGCAGCTCTTTCCTCGCTTTTATGAACGTAACAGCAAGAAAAGACAGAGAGCTTTTTTATTTTAATCCAGCAGAGGGAAAAATAGAGTTGTTCTCCTAAACCTCCTGTGAGCAGTTCCAGCATTTTTTAAAAGAAAAACAACATGGACATGCTAATTACAGTCCGGTGCGAAAGTGAAACTAAAAACATGGCGCTGCCATTGCAAAGGGAAACTTAACACACAGCGGTTCTCTCTCCCCCTCATAGTCCGAGACAGAGGGCAGAAAAGCTAAATTAGACAGCTCAAAGTTCATAGCTCACCTTTATTGTTGTTGGCACTCTGTCTTACAACATTAAGGCTTGGTTATAGTTGCACTTTGGGCTGTCGTGCATGCTCTGCGGTGTGTGCGCACTCCTGAAATCATATCATAACGTGCTGTGTGAAATCATACTTGAAGTTCATGTTTAGCACTGTTCTTTCCTCACCGACAGTAGTTTACCCATTAACAAGTGTGGTTTTTGATTCTATTGTCACTAGTGTTTACCAAAAGTTTGTTTTTTCATTTGTTCTACAGCTTGTTGTTTACAGCCCAGTGATATTAAATTATGGTCATGGGGTCTGCTTCTCTTATGTACACATTGTTACATTGTTCTGAAGTTTTTATGTGAATTAGGTTTGCAGTAGTAACTCTAAAACAGTAGTTTTGAACGTGTTGATGTAGAAATTACAAAGTGTTGAAATAACTGAAAGAAGTCAACATAAAARGAAGCATTTTATTTGTATATTACAAAACAAAGCAAAACTAACAAAAAAAGCTATTTCTTTCCAAGTGTTCTGTGCCATCTGGTTATCTTTAAGATCTCTCATGGAGGGATCATGTAGATGACAAACATACGTACCTGAACACCTTTGAAAAYGTCTATCTTGAAAATGAAGTGCAGCGCGCAGCCTTTGCGGAGCTACAAAATCTCGGAGGTGCACAACCACACGTCAGGACACCACGCGGGGCCATCRCGCAGGGGCGGGGATGCAGTGMTTGCATCACTTTTGACGCAAGTCCCCTTGTGCCCAGTGCGCCGCGTAAACTATAGCCCTAGCTTTACCAGGTGCTCTCTCTCWGGGAGGGAGCGGCAACATGCACTCACGTGATCCAAAGAATGGATTGGCCGAGCGGATGAACGTATCGGCCGATACAAGGAAAAAACAAATATTGGGTGTCCACCTGAGCGATGACCTCACATGGAGCATCAGTTATTCCAGCATGATCCAGAAGGTCCTCCAGTAACTTTTTTTCAGACAGCTGAGGTGAGCAGGACTGAGGAGCCCAGTCCTGACCTGCTTCTCCAGGTTTTTGTTGGAGAGYATCCTGTGCTCCTGCATCACTGTGTGGCRCAGCAGCTGCTCTGTGGTGGGGAAAAAGTCTCTGCACAGAATGCTAAAGGCTGCTCAGAAGATTGTGGGAGTCACACTCACCAACATTGAGCATATCTATATTTCCAGATTCAAAAAATACCCCACCTGCATCCTGAGGTCCTCTTCCCACCCTGCCCACACTGTATTCACTCCACTGCCATCAAGCAGAAGGCTGTGGAGCATCAGGAGCAACACCAGCATGTTGAGGAACAGCTTTTACCCTGAAGTTGTCRGGCTGCAGAACTCTGGGAGGCACTTCCTGCTCCAGCTCCAGCCTTGCTAGACTGCTCCTGTTGTTGTGTTTTATCTTATTTATTTAGTCTGATTTTTTTATTCTTAGTTATTTTTAATATTAGTTAGTCATATATTCTATCCCCGGGACCTGTGCAACCACTTTTGTTCTAATTCATGAAYATTTGATTTTTAYGTGAAGCGAATAACAAATAAAGATCCTTGAAACCTTGAAAAATGCTAAATCTTTCATTTGTTGTTGGTCCAGTTATTCCTCTGTACATTTCATTGTAAATAAYTATAAATATTCTTTCTTTACATGTTTTTATGTTAACAGAGCTGGATTCCAAAGATTTTCAAGAAACGAGTCTGCACAACATTTGTTGAAAACCCCAGGTAATGTTTATTTGTGATTTTAGTTTTAAGACCTTGTGTACGTATTCATGTAATGTATTCATCTTTTATTTTATTTTAATTTTATATCAAAGCAGTCTATATTTCAGCTTTATCTGAACATATGACTATATATGTAGATGAATGCCAATTCAAAACAAAAGTCAAGTGTGGAAAAAGTAAGCAGGTTAAATATAATACTAGAAAAAATAATCTGTTCAATCCATGTATTTGCTTTACTGAACTGTCCCACAATGATTTTTTTAGTTACTTACTGACTTGTTATTTATTCAGACACTGATAAAAAAAAAATCAAAATCTTGTAAATGGATGTGATCTTCTTTTCTGGTCTATCCATTCTTTTCTGTTTCTCACGCATTTTTCTCAAGGTACAAGAATCACGATGGCTTTAATTTGCTCAGAACTCTGCCTCTCAGGCCAGAGAGGATATACAGTTGCTCCAGTGATTTCTGGGTGTGCTCWCAGGCCTCTATGCTGTTAGACATGCCTGGAAAACTATTTAGAAAARGAGAAGTCCTGGATGAGTTCTAATCAGATGAACCACCTCAACTGACTCTTTTTCATACAAAGGAGGATGAGCTCTACTCTGAACTTCCTTGGAATGATGGAGCTCCTCACCCTATCTCTAAGGCTGAGCCCAGCCAACCTACAGAGGAAGTTCATTTCAGCTGATAGGATGCAGGATCTCATTCTTTTTTTTTTTTTTTTTTGGTCATGATCATACCTCATTAGTAAAATTGAGATTTGGAACATAAGTAGACAGACCAGTACAGYGCTTTCAATTTAATCTGCAAGTTTRCCTTATAACCAGATATTACACCAAAGGAATCCAGAATGGAGTGTTCTGCTGGGATGGAGACAGAGAGATCTGAACTAGAAGAAGATTGTCTGCACACAAGTATACCATTTGCTCCAGACCACATGAAAAAATGCCTGAAATTCTTGAATCACTATGAAGGGCTACTGGAAGGGGCTCAATGGCCAGGGCAAACGAGGGCTTAAAGGACAGCCCTGCTGAGTGGAGGAGTGAAGACAGAAAAATGCTGATTGATTAAATTTGTTGTAACGGAAGCTAACCCCAGATTTACACTAGATGCGACTCCGCTCCATTGCGCTGTCGTGTGCAGTTCACAGCTGTTTGTTTACACCCCAATTTATATAGCATCTGCTCAGCTCCCCTCTGGTGTGATGCACAGAGGAGGGAGTGWGTGCAGGAAGGACACTGCGCGATAAATCCTGTGATAAAAGTGGAAGTCAGAGCAAAATATAATTAATTTTGTGAAAGACAAACTCCAAACACAGCTGAAAACATAGATATAAAGGGCTTTGATATTTATGGTTGAAACTGTATTGCTGTTGTCTTTTTGAAACTTCTGATTTCAAAAATAAAACCCACGTGTATCGGATGAAATGACAGTATGATAACCTTGGGCAAAAATATCACGGTTTCACGGTATGACAGTATTATGATTACAACTCTATAAATGCTGTTTTGAAAGTTGTATTTAAAAACAAAATGAAAATAACTTTTCTATTATCATATTCAACTTTAATTATCTTTGGAAGCTGTTTTTAGATCTCAGAGGTGTTTTGCTGAAACTTTATTTACCTGTGTGCATTTATACTTGTGATTTTAGCAACTAATGCAATTAGGTTATCCTGATAAAGTTTACATCTAGTAAGATAACTGCTTTTCTATTGCTTTATTTTTTAAGAAAAATCAGTGTATACTGCACGACAAGTGTTTTTATTGAAGTAATGTATGAAGTTTTTATCATGTTTTAAATGACAAAAGGGTTTTGGTGTAAAGATTATATAATTATATGCACACAGAATCAAGAAATCACAACTACGAATGCGTGTTTATGAAACGCACATTCAGCTAATGAGCTGCTCGGCTAAAGGAGACATTCAGTTTTATCACCGTTCACTTAAAACTTATCAAATACACAATCCAACAACTCAACAGTTTTGCAGACAAGTTGTGATTGGTGCATTTAAGCCACAGCAACATGTGATGTGTTTCACAATCTGATGCTAAAGTTAGCTCGTTCATTTCAAGATAGCATAACTTAACCTGGAGCTGCGATCATGTTGCCTCCATGGTCCACATTGCTGTCGTCTTAACGGCACCCTAAGCATTTCCATATAGCTGGATTTATTATTTTAGACATGGGAAAAGTTTGGGGAACACCCCCACAGAGCTGAGCAGAGTGCTGCCGACAGGCAGCACGAGGGAGGGGTCGTGGGGGAAGTCTGCAGCGGAACAGACCCGAGGAAAAATAAACAAAAAACACCTATACCGTAGGCACGGTATGACAGAAAATTTTTGTGGTTTTCAAACCGTTGCTTTTTCATATCATGGTATACCTTGAAACCGGTATTCGGCCCATGCCTAATCGTATGCTTCATGCTACATGTTGCCATCTGCTTCCCAAACAGAACGATACATTCTGACAGCATTTGTGTAGAAATTTATCCACATACTGATTATTATAGGTGGGATTTTGACTAAATTAATCCACCCTATGGTGTCTTATTTTGAAAATACGGATGTTATGCTTGTTCCTTTTCCTGTTGGTGCACTGTGATGTCTGTAGATTGATTCAAGAAATCAATATACAGTAGAAGGAGATAAGGTAAAAAAATTTTCATCCAAGAGCAGATGCACATTAAACCGCCAAGGGAGCCTTCGCTGAGCACTACCCTTAAATTGAATGCACATAGCCACCAGGGAGTGATCAGAAATTATTGGGGCATCATATGAACATGAGTCTGGGGTTACAGAAGGGAGCATCCTATTGTCAATAAAAAATAATCTATTTGGGTAAATGTATGGTGAGCAGGAGAGAAAAAAAAATATTTTTTTATCTGAGGGGTTAAAGAATTGCCAGGGATCTGAAATAGCAAAGTCTTTGATTAAAGCTTTAATAGCATTAGCAGAGTTTAAGAGGGTTATGGGCTTGGTAGATTAGCAATCGAGATGTGGATTTAGCCAACAATTAAAATCTCCACCCATAATGAGAAAATGAGATGGCATGAGGAAGAGTAGAAAAGAGGTGCCTAAAAAACCTGCATCCTGATTGGGTGCTTATACTGTATATTGACAAGGAGTGTTATACATTACCTACAAGAAGTAGATACCCATCCTGTGGATTAGAGATAACATCCAAACATGTAAATGGAACAGATTTATGCAGCAGAATTGGAACCCCTCTAGCCTTTTTATGAAATGATGAGATATAGGTTTGACCAATCCAACTACTCCTAAGTTAAGTGAAGACAGAAGGTTTTCAGTGTGTCTTCTGCAAAAATATTACCTGAGCACCCAGATGACAAAGATGATGTAAGACCTTTGTGCATTTCAATGGGGAGTTGAGACCTTTGCAGTTCCAGCTAATGAACTTCAGAGCACCACCATCACATTTATCAGCTGACCTGGGCTGAGTGGTGGATATCAAAACTTGACAGTGTCAACAAGACCAACAGGCAGAGATGTTGCATCGAAGCATAATGGACAAACCTACCAAAAAAAAAAAAAAAAAAAATAACACAATAAACACCCATACAATAAAAGAGGATAAACAAAAAAACTAACAGTGAAGAGATCTTCCCATTCACCCGAGTCCCATCCCAAGCCCAGCACTGGCATCTCCCTAAATGAGATGCATGCAAACCCTACAATCCACAACAAAAAATGAAAACACTCCATGAGAGCCCTGACAAAAAGCAACAAACCTGTGCTACCTGAGAGTAATGTGACATTTCAATTATGAGTATGTTTCTCATTTAAGCTTACACAAAAAACATATAAATCAGCATATCCATATCTAAAATGTATTTAAGAGGAAAAGGGAAAAAATGTAATTAAATAAAAATAATTAATATTTGTCTAGTGCCATTTAGAAGAAAGAAGCCAAGTATCTAGTCTCCCTGTAACATAGTAACAATAATTACAACAAGAGTCTAAAGGAGACTAATCCTGTCTGCAGCCCATAACATTATTGGAACAGAACAGAATGCCTAAACCACAGTTTAAATACTTAAAGATCTCAAATAAGATAATCAGAATACAGTTGTAAAAACACTGTGAGATCACAGCGTACCTTACTTGATTTTGCTAACAAAATCTGCAGCCAGCAAAGGGTCTTCAAAGCAATGGGTTGTCCCATTTGTCATGGTGATCGTGGGGTAAAAGAGTCCATCTGATGGTGGTCAGAAGGTCTGGTGGCGCTGGTGCATGGCAGTTCCGCCTCTGTCAACGTGCCCCAGGGCAGCTGTGGCTACAGTGTAGCTTACTGCCATCAGTGTGTGAATGCCTGAAGTCTAAAGTGCTTTGGGGTCCAAGTGGACTTGATAAGGCGCWATAAGTTCAAGCCATTTACCATTTACCATGCTTAACCGCCCAGAAAGCAGCACGTTTCTTCACCACAGTAAAGTCCAGGAAAAGTAAGATACATTTTTCTTTATAACACAGGGGAGATGTCTCTCCTACATGTCGCAAAATCTGGCTATGCACATGAAAGAAATTAACCCTAATAACGAAAGGACGAGGAGGGTCCCCATCCTGGAGTAAAAAGTTTATTTGCAAAACGAAACCACCAGGAACGAGGTAACGTGGGAGGGGTTAGTCATGAAGAGACTCAAGAAGATTCGAAATGAGAACAAAGTAGACCATGAAGACCAACAATAAACTGAAAAACCAACAGAAATAAAGGGAACTAATCAAATACAAACAACAACACCTTCTAAGAAACAAGAACTAGGATTGGGAGGAGCACAGGAAGAATACTAGGAGACCGGAAAACACTCCCAGTTAATCCCAAAAATTCAAAACAATAAATAAAGCTAAACACAAAATTACAAACAAAACTGTGTATGTGTATAAAATATGTTTTCAACACATTTTAAGCATAGGATTTTTTAAATTGGTTTTGTTAGATATAGCCATGCCCATAATGTTGTCTGTCCATCTTTGATGCTGTGCCAAAAGAGAAGAAAAGGAATCATCTCAAAGCGTCTTGTCTTGTCTCATT